TGGGTTTTGGGGGAGGGTGGTGAATAGGAGGTGGTGGAGCAGTATAGATCTGTATTCAAGCAACAATTCTGGTGAAGAGTCAATGCAGATAGTCGCCTAAACAGCAAAGTGGAAGTGGTATATAACAATGTATCGCACCTTATCCAAACCTGACAGAAGGCAATGACAGGTAGAGTTATGCTACTTTTGTTGGTTTTCCCCCCTCTAATAAACCACGTGCAGTGGGTGCTGGGGCTGGTGCCTGGCTGCCTGCTGTTGTCCCAGGGGCAGAGCTGATAGATGGGTGGTGAATGACTGCGAGAGATGCTGAACTTCTGACTTGAGTACTGCTGACTGCAAAGACTGAGCACATCTTTGCCCAGAGGTGTGACTGGGGCTTCCTTGGCTGCCTAGGATCTGCTGTGCTGCTACCAGGTATAGGTGAAGAAGAAGTGTCCCCAGACAGAGACTGCTGACTGTGGCTGCAGGAGTAGGGTGGCAGGGGACTGGGTAAGAGAGCACAAGTGCATCCCTGTGCTAGGGCCTGCAAAAGCCACCCGGGGTATCTCTTGTAATGGTCAGATGGTCATTCCTCCATGACAACTTCAGAAATCAGAGAGGAACTGGATATGGCCAGAGAGACTGGGAAATAAAAATGGGAGAAGGCAGTCTAGATCATCCCTGCTGGCTCTCTGGTTTGGTTTTGCCTGTTCACTTGCTTACAGCTGGTATTTCTGGCTCCTTCTCTTGTGCGTGGAGCAAGTATAAGAAATACCTGTGGTGTATTCCTTTCCCTCTTGGCAGACTTTTCTGAACGGGCTAGTGTGTGCATAAAGTCAGTAGCAGTCTGTTTTAAGAGCCAGTCCTATGTTACTTTTCAAGTGAAGGATGTGCACAGGGCCCCAGGACCTCTTCAACACCCTGTGCTCTGCTGGCCAGGCTTTGGAGACCCTGTGCCAACTTGTTACCTAAATGATTTACCTAGGTATCTGGGTAATTTGTTATGTCTTTGTCCCTGTGTGCATACCTGTTTGTGCCTTTCTTTTGTTCACTGCTTCTGCATGTAGAGGCATCATAGTCAGCAGGTGCCAAGAGCAGCCTTTTTAAATGGGTCCAGTCGTTTGTGCATGTGACAAGGTTTTGAGGGAGGTGAGGTTGATGAGACACCTTTTTCTCTTGGCAGCTTTGTAGAATCAACAGAAGTTTCCAGAGGCACTCCCTGCACAGTTTTGATTCTTTTTCCAGTTGGAATAAAAGTACCAACTGGTGAGAGCATGTGAAAATCTTCACTTTTAGTTGACCTACCCGATTACCAAAAGGAAAATGGGGATGGAATTCCGCATCTTCTTAGTTTTACAGGCTTCTACTCAGGAAGGAAAGTGTAAGTTTCTTGCCTAGTTTATGAACAAATACAAATCCCACAAACACGTAACAAATTCCATTATTTTTTTTTTACACTGCAGTCTGCTAAGGGTCAAATTAAAGCTGTAGGAAACAGAACTGGAGTTAAAATAAGGAAGGTGTCTAAGATGTTGCCTGCTATTTTGTTTTATGCAACAGGTGATTTCTTTTATTCTCCCTTCAAAAAGGCATTTGCTTCTCAAAGAAACTGAGAGCAGTGCTGGGCCTTAGGTGTGGTAGACCCAGAGATCAGTAATTCTCAGGAGGAGGAAAGCTGTAAGTAGGTTTTTGCCGTCTAAGTAACAGAGCTTGAGTTGAAGCAGTAAAGGCAAACACTGCTGAACAGTCAGTAGCTGGGGGTTTGGATCCTACCTGCAGTAGCCTTGGGTGCCAAAAGAGATAGAAAGTCCCTTCCTTTTCCAAGTGGTATGGGTCTGGCTTGGAAGATGAGACCCATGACTGCATTGTTCTGGCATTCCCCACTGTGGTCCAGCCTCCAGTTTTCTGGCTTAGGTAGCAAATTTGCCAAAATCTTCCCAGGCTAGCAGGTAAGAAGCTATTATTGATGTCAAACTGTAGGAGTGCTGTAAATGAGAGCTGCTTCTTTTGTTGTTGTTGTTGTTCTTTCCCAGAGAGAAAACATGAGTTAATAAAAACCTGTCCTTGCAGCTAGTTAGGTACAGTGGAAGTCATGTCCCTACCATAAACTCTGGTGAGCTTTGTTGCAATTTAGTGAAGCATTTAAATGGTTATCTCCAAGTTTGTTTGGTTTAATCATACTGTGGAGAAATGTTTGCTGAAGAGCTGCTGTCTGAATCAGGGCCTTGGGAAGCAGCCATGAAATAAATGATAGAGCAGGTCCTGGACTGTAAATGTCTTCTACTGGTTGCAGATAATGGGAGGAGGAAATTTTTCTTCTCCAGATCATGTGAGAGCCCAGTAGATATTGGAAAATGTTAGTGTAAATTGTTTGGAGAAGGAACATAAAGCAGCTCTAAAAGGCTGTTGAGTCCAGTGGTCAGTGCACAGCCTGGCAGCAGTCTCTGACAGAGGTGGGTTGGAAGCCAGGCATGAGAACTCAAGTATCTCCATCCCTTGAAAGGTCTTCTCACTGAGGTCTCAGTGAACATCCTCGATAGACACACCAAACTTGCCCTAGTTGTCCGGACTGTGGATACTCTCTAGCATTTTCTTTCTTTTTTGTAAATAGCAGAGACTTTCTGTGAGGCTGTATTTGATGCTCTGTGAGGAACACTGTGTCCTTCGTCAGATGTATGCCATATGACTGGGTTGGTGTCTTTTATTCCCTAAAGAAGGAAGATGGAGTCTGGCTCATTAGTAAAGATCAGGACAAACACATGCCACTTTCCACAAGGCAAAAGCCTGGGGCATTTGTTGTTCAGGCACCAATCTGGAGCGCTGCTTTTGTGTGTCCTGCTCTTTGGCTGTAGTGATCCCTAGAGACTTCCTTAGAAGCAAAGGCCCATAAAAAGCAGTACTGCACAGGGCAAGTGTTAATTTTCAGAGGTCATGACCCAATCGTGTAAGCATTTGGGCCAGACAGCAGCATAAGGCATTTCTGATACCCCAGGCCAGGTTTTTGCTATGTTTCAAAAGCTCTAACCAGTGGGGGAAAAAAAATGCTGCTTCTGAAAAAATGGGGAGGCAGCTGGGGAAAAAAAGTTTTTATATATTTGGAAGTAGTTTCTGGCTTAAAATGTTAAGAGAGTATTTGAATCACAGTAGGAAGAAAAGGACAGATTAAAACAATAAGAAGAGGGCTTTTGCCAAATCGTTAGAAACATAGTGGCTTCTAATAAAAAATACTGAGTGACCCCATCATCAACATCAGCTTGTGCAGAAAAATGGAGGTGTGTCTAATTTTGCTGAACTGCTTGCTGCATGGTAGGAGAAATGTTAGCCTTTTCTTTTGCTTTCTTCCTGCAGGGTGGTCTTAAATCTATTGGTAACTCTCACCTGAAAATTAAGGAAAGTGCCTACAAACTTCCAGCAATGCCCTTCCCTTCACTTTTGGCTGTTTTCCTTTGGATCAGAGCTCATTATACAAGTTTGGAGAAGATAAGATACATAGAAATAGACAGTGAAAACTCCAGAGCTGGAAACATTTCATCATATTGCTGTGAGTAGCACAGCAAAGCCCTGTTGAGTGGTGGGGACCTCTTTCTGCTAGCTCAGTATGGGTAGGATGTGGGATGATTCCTCCTGGTGGTCCTATCTGTTCTGTTGCTCTGAGAAACCTACTTTTATGGTACACTGTAACTAAAAGTTGCTCCATGTGTAGCATCAGTGTGAGGTGAGTTGTATCAGTATGTTTGACCTACTTGTGTATGGTTCAATCAAACTAGATTTTCACAGAGCTAAATATTAAGGATCTTCAAATAAACTGTACAAGATTCGGAAAGGAGCCAGTGGATCACAGGATTAGCAGTGGGATATGCTCATGGGATTCTCATTGCAAGTTAATCTGTGGCATGTGCACAAGGCTAGTTTCAACTCTTCAGTTTTCCAAATTATTTTTGTTTTGGGTCAGAGTTAAGGCTATTTAAATGCTAATATTTCTTTTGAGTGTGTTATAGCTATTATAGTATGTGATTTTTCAGACTTGTTCATACTTGATGTGCTACTTTTTGGTAATCATGTGCATCAACAGTTCTTCTACACGTTAACATATTTTGAGGCTGTGTAGGAGTTATGTGTCAGAGGGAGTAAATCTATGTATATAAGGTAAATTACAAATGTGCGAGAATCAGGGACATTCCATACCAAAATACTTCACTTCAGAGAAGTGGCCTATTTGAAGAACTCCATTAGCTTGTAGTAATAGCAGGCATTTATCCATTGTATGCATCAGCTGCTTGAGGGCTGAAATGAGACACACTTATTCAAGTGATGTATCTACTTCCTCTCAAAAGAAATCCATCCCAGCTGTCTGATATCCACGCAGGCTTAAGTCAGCCTCCAGACCCTTTTCTTTGCTGGCTGGTATCAACAACCAAATTGTGACCTTTTCTGTCAAACCTACTGACATTTTTCTTAGGAATTGAAAGAGTAACAATGTTAGCAGGCAGCAGACCAAGACATTGATCTTCAAGCACGAAAGCTGCTTATTGTTCATTTTCTGGTTTGCACTTAGAACGTGTTTATGTTTGGGTGTGTGACTGGAAAAGCGTTCAGGTGTCTGTGAGGCTCAGGGACTTCGGGTAGCTATTCTGGCATAGTTTTAAAGGTAAGCCCATATAGTGAAATCTTGGCCCCATTAAAGTCAGCAACAAAAAAAGGAATTAAATTTGACCTTGAATTTCAAGGCTCTTGTCTTGTAGCTTTTGCAGACCTAAGGGTTATTTAAAAAAAACCGTCAAACCACAAAGCTCAAAAACCTGTTTGAGAAAATTACTGTAGTCTCAAACCCTGCATTCTGATAATTTTTCCTGAGATGAGATTTCTGCTCAAGACTTTCAAGTTACCATCAGCATATATGGTACCTCCTTGATTGGAGACAGCTCACTTGCTGGTATTAGTTAGGTAATTTTCTCAACATATTAATGTGTATATGTTTCAGGAGTCAGCAATAATCTCATCTCATTTCTCTCCCTTTGCAGGCCCTCTACAATTCAATCAAGAATGAGAAGCTGGAATGGGCAGTGTAAGTATACTGTGCAGAAATTTAAATTAGGGGTTTAAAAGTAGTACCTTTGTAGTAATGTGTTTATACGTCCTGTGTCACCATCTGAGTGGGCTCCAAAGCCTCTAGAAGACAGCCAGTGTACGTAATGAGTTTTCTGTTAATGAATGACCTGGCAATACTGCCTCATCTGTTTCTCCAACAAGGGGAGTTGCTAATGATAGGAGCCAACGGCATTTGTAAGGAAAGAGGATGTTTCATTTAGTAGGAAACTTCAGCCTGAAAAGAGAGAAATTAAATCCTCCATTGTTCAATGACTGCATAAATAAAACAGAAGTTGACTTCTCTCTTTATCTTTTGGTACATTATGTCAGAACCACTGAATAGAAACACACATCTTGGATTGAGTTTCTTGATGCTGGTTTATTGTCTTGGTTTGTCTCCTGATTAACTATGGATAACTTGACAACAACCTAATATGAAAGATGATAAATCGAACAAAGTCTGATATTCCCCCCTGTCCGTTGCTGCTTTCAACAGGCTAACACTTGTTAACCATGGAAATACTGCAGGCAAGAAAGAGCAATTTCTGATTGTGTTAAATTGACATTTCTCTGTGCTTAGGTTTCATGTGGTCTAGGGTCTGCTTTAGATTTTGCTGCTTGCAGGACAGTAGATTTTGGTGTAAAATAAAAGTCTTTCATTTATTTTATCTATACAAGATGTTTACCTGTGTGGATTTACACATCTGAAACCTCACCTTTCTTGAGAACAGTGTGTGTCTGGGATGCATGCTCCTGCACCTTTTGCACTAGAAATCCTGACAACTGCTATAGATCTTGCAGGCTCATTGGCTTCTGATTTTCATTTGCAGATGATGAACAAAAAACAAGGAATTTCTTGTCAGAGTGTACAACCTCACTTATAAGGGCTGTTGGTCTCAACTGGGATTGCAGCCCCTGTTCAGAGGTGTGTTAGATAATGTCAAAGTAGTGAGTAAGGTGGCTGCTCAGAGGAATCACCAAGTGCCATCTCAGATGAGCCTCTTAAGAAGCATGGTGGGTGACATTTTCCCAGACTGTGTCTTGGACCTGGAAGACATGTTAATCTTATGTGTCACAACACCAGACCTTTGCAAGACACTCTCTCATAGGTACTTTAGATCTAGCAGAATCCATTATGTGACTTTCTCGATGTCAGAATTTTCCTCCAGCTCTTGCCAAGAGACCATACCGTGTCTAATGCACTTGGGCAGCCTCCAGGTGGGAACTGACTCAGTCCTGGCTATGCTCCCATGAGCTTCAGTCAAGGAGATTTATGAGATAGCTTGCTTCTGTATAGGTAGTAACTGCTTCGACATTTACGTAGTCCAGTCTGTGTCCCTTGCTAATAAATTGTTTGGGGAAAAATTCCAAGCAGGCTGGAAGAGAAAGAAATCAGAATTCTTAAACAAGGTTCTGGGATGTGTGTGTAAAGCCACCTTGTCCTAGCAGAGTGCTCAAAGGGGCAAATTATCCGTTCCAGTCTGAAGCTCAGACAGATAGCTGGGACTGATGTGACAATTGCTTTCTCTGCTGAGAAACAGAACTCATTCTGGGCATAGTCAAAAGAGAGTGTGCCTTTACTTTTAGGACTGAGAGCACTGGCTGGAAAAGGGAGCGTGAAAATGTTTCTCTTCACTTTCACACCTTGGTGTAAAGTAATCAACCCAAGGAGCCCCAGGACTGCCTGAGCTAGAGGGAGGAAGCACATCAATCTCTTGCTCTGCTGTTGTGATCTGCAGAGAAGGGTAGATAGGAAGGGGACATTGTCAGTTTTCCTGTGATGGGACTGAGGAAGATCCTCTCTCCTTTCCAAAGAGTATCCCTTTGCTTCTCTGATGCAGTTGGCAGGGGAAGAAGTGGGAGGTAAGGCAGAGGTGGAAACAGGGCTGCAAAACTCAGCATAAGCTCCTTTGGGATGCTGGCACATTGAAGGAATGCTTTTCCCCCAGCCAGAATCCCTTTGAGGAACTAAGACTCTCTCTTTATGAGGTGAGCAACAGTTTAAGAGCTGCTCTGGCAGTACATTATTTGGTGGATTAATGACTGGCAGTAAGTCCATAGGCAGGGGAGAGTAACAGCAATGAGTAAGATGGAGAAAGACTGCTACATGATCCTTGTCTTCCTAGTTACGAGCTCTGTGTGTTGTTGTCCTAAATAGTTTGCTGTCTGTTTCCAGTAGAATTAGTCTGATCCAAAGCCCACAGAAAAAATGGCTACCACTGACTTCAATTTTGTAGTCAAGAGAAGTGGCATTGTAATCAGTACATACGCTCCAGAGACTTTCAGTAGTAGTATTCATTTATACTTTATGAACCAGGAAGCACGAGTACAACTCTGGAAGAGAAAATTGCATTACAGTTCTGCTTCTGCAGTAATTCCAGGTTAAAGTTCTCCAAAATGTTAAAAGCAAATCATGTACCATGATCTATAAAATAACCAGACCTGACCTGTAATTTACCCTCAACTGGTGAATGTGGGGTCCTGAATGCACACTCCTTACTCTGCACTGCACCCCTGAAGTCTTTTGGTTACTTTTCACAATAGAACTGCCAGAAGACATTCTACCATTTACTTGGCTTGCCATTTACTTTGTTTGCCATTTCTTCTTGCCTGCTTTGTTGTTCAGTGTCCTGGGAGAAAAGATGAAAGCAGTATGGGAAAACCATCAGAAATACGATTATTCTGTCTTTTGTCCCATTCCATATTTTCTCTCTACTGCTTACAGTTCTAGTTCTCTCCTGTCTCTTGGACTGTGGTTCATTTCTTTGAACAGCAATTGAAGTGCTAAATAATGATTGGACCTCACTGGAGTCCTTGACAGAAGTTCCTACTGCCTGTAGTGAAGCCACGTACTGTTTCACCCAGTTAGTCCAATGCATCCTCTTTTCAGTGTGCTGAGGTCACTGGAACCACCCCAGGAGTGCATGTAGCTGCAATAGTTGTGTTGTAATTTCTCATGCTGCTTAAATTTCCCTAAGGGACTTGATATTTCCATGGAATTTTTTCATAGTCACATGGTAAACTCCTGTTCTTCAACCCTGACACTACCCATACAATGAAATGAATTCAAGATCCTGTGAACATGAGCAGTGAGATTGAGTTGGGTTTGTTTAGTCGGAAAAGGGAGCACTGAGGAGAGGGACCTGAGTGTATTTTTTCCAATGTGTCAAGGCTGTTGCAGAGAAGAGTGTGCACTACTCTTCACACCCATTGTAGATGGACTTGAATTTGAAACAAGGGAAGTTTGGGTTCAACATTGAAAAAAGCTTTCTAGCAATACGCCTTTTAAACCAATACATAGATTTGTTTGGACGAACTGTGGAAGGGCTTTCACTGTAGGTTTTTGTGAACTGGCCATTCTGTCCAGAATGGGTTAGGAAGAGTGGATCCAACCTTAAAGGTAGGGATGGATTAGTTGACCTCTTAACATCCCTTCAGTCCTGTTGTCTGTAATGTTATGGCCCAGGTTTTTTAGATGTTTCTCATCCTTTGACTTTTGCACTGATCATAACCAGCTTTAAACTGAAGAAGAAAAATTAGTTTGATTTCAAAGGCTCTAGAGCTGAATATGTTTTGCTCCCATGATGTCTACATGGAAATGTGGTGGTGAACATTATTGTTGTTGTAATATTATGTCTACTTCCTGTTGAAGGTGACAGGAATAACAAAATCATCATCTTAAAATAGACTGAATAGTGATCTAGAATTAACATATGAAGTCCCAAAGTGCTGCTTACAAGATTGCAAAACACAAATGGCTGCATTTGTACTAACTGTATCCTGAAAGCTTTCTCTCAGCAGGACACTGTAGTTTTCTGGAGAATCACTGTTTTTTTGACCAGCTAATGATACAGTTTTCATTTAGAGTTTAGATATGGACATAGTATATTCTTTTTTGATTTTCTGGACTGCACTGAAATATCTTCTCCTTTCAACCAAACCAAAATAGGTCTTTCTGAGACAGTGATGGTGGGAAAGGGCTGCTGCAAATCCTTTCTGTGTTTCCTGGGGCAAACTCTGACACAGAGACCAGGGTGGCTATAAAGACCTCTGTGCTGAAGCTCACCTTTTTCTAGGTCAAACTGAGAAATCCCCATTATAATTATCTCTTTGTCTTCCAAGTTCTAGGATGTTTCCTGTTTGCAACTTCATGATTGGTTTTAGAGAGGAGTCAGGTGGTAATCACCTGGCTCTCCTTTCTTCTCTCCTCCCTTTGTGAAAGATGCCAAGGCTTCTGTCCACTGGTTTCTCAATTCAGTTTCCTAACAGATGCTATCAGTTCCACAGATTCATGTCACTATATATTACAAATTGAATTTTTTTTAAATGCCGATTTTGAAATGGATAAACCCAGCCTTTTGCCATGTCTTATAAGTTTTCTACTTTCTACCTTCCCAGCTTAGTGACTTTGAAGTTTTCCAAGGCAGAGCCTCAAGTCAGACCATAGAGCATACAGAAATGTTATTGTTACTGACAGAACTGGGTAGTGGTATTCTTTCAGAAGACAAAAAATGGGCCTTTCTTCTGTAATGTCTTTTTGGGGAGAGGCAAAAATATATTTCTTCACCAAAATGGCAACATCTGCATTTTTGTATATTTTTTAAATTTGCATGTTTAAGAATAAGAGGCAAACTCTGGTTGACAGTGATCATTCATTTGGGAAGGAAAACATTGCTGTTTCCATGCTGTGTCTTCAAGGGATAGAGCAAGCAGATTCTGGCCTTGGTGTGCCGGTTTTCATGGGCAGCCAGTGCCCTGGTTACTGCTCTTGTCTGCAGGTTCTTTTCCAAAGAAACAAGCTAAGGGAGGTGGAACTGAAGCTCCTTGTTTTGGGAAGCCTTGCAAATATCACATGTCATAAGCAGAGTCTTGGAGAAACTGTACAGGTGATAACATCTTCCTGTCACTAGTACCCTGCAGAGCAGAGACACTAGTAGGTCCCATTTTTCATCCATCCCTCCTACAAGAACGTTCACAGCCATCAGGCCCTTTCAGTCATCGCAGAGAGGGGTCACCAGAGAAACTGCTTTCAGACCCAGACCAGCAATGAGCTCCCTCTGCTGATCAAAGACAGAAACCTAAGAGGGCCCTCATTATGATGTTTTGCTACTGAAAAGTGTGATGGAACCAACATGTTCTTTTTTTTTTTTCCCCAAAAGCAGAAAGATTGTGCTATTTTCTGTACCAAATGGAAAGGCACCGAGCCTGCCCCTGACAAGGACCTGAGCTCTGCCAGTGTGACACTAGATCCATGACTCTGAACATACCTGCACAGAGACACCACCCACTGACTCTTATCCCTGCATCACTGAAGGCCTTCATGCTGGGGATGTTACAGGAGTTGAATCATCTGTGAGAGTCATCTGAAGATGAGGAGGTAGTTGCACCCTCCACAGGCTAGGGTTTCAAACAGAGACCAGTTTTCAGGTGTATGTATACAGCTGAATTTTCTGCAGCTCTTCCTTCTTGCAACCATATCTGAAAGACTGGTGAGGAGTAAGGTCAAATTGTTACATCCTTGATAAAAGCTATCCAGGACCTATCTATTCAGCCAGCTTTGGTGGGTATGTAAGCGAAGACTAATATGTGAACTGTTTTGCTGCTTTAAAACTCCTCCCAATCATCCTTTCTTACGCTTGACCACTGAAACAACATGCAGTATTTGATGAAGTAAGTCTCAGATCTCTTGGTTTTATTTCCACTGGTGCCTCATACTCAAGATCAGAGGAAGATAGAGGCTCCTTCTAGTTCTGTTTTCTCAGCTATTCATCCATTTCTCATTCTCTATAATGAGTCTGCTTTGCTTCTCTGATTCTTTTCATTGCACCTTGACCTAATACATCTTGTTGGATCACTTCGCTCTCACAGGTGCTTGAGACTTCTGAGTCTTAAGGATGTCCCATTTTCAGTGACAGATTAAAGGACCAATTAAAGGTTTATTCAGTGCTACTAGCAGTCATGACAGAAGATGCCATTTTGTCCTTGTCTGTCTTTTAAAAAATTCCTGTTTAATAGTTGTCCCAGAGATGCTGAGTTTGAGAGCATTGCCCCCAGCACTGGTGGTGTCCAGGATCCCCAGGATTGCTTATCACAATGCCTGTGGCTGCTTGGATAAGGGCACTGGTTGCAGTAGGTCTCTGCTGACAATGAGATATCCACTGTGTCCTTGGCTGGGATCCCAGAATTCACAAGGCACTTCTGTGTGACAAATCAGCCCGAGTCCTTGTGTCCTCTTGAGAGATTTTAGTCTGCATTAGATACCACAGACTTGTATGGAATTTGCTCCTGGAATGAACACATACCTAAAACATGTGTACAGATTTGCCAGCAGCTAGGAAGTGAGGCAGACACAGGAAGGGTGGGGACAATCAAAACTGACAGAAATTAACAGACTTTTTCAGTTGGGAGAGGGCTTCAACCAAATAATGCTTTGAGCGATAAAAACTTCTTTCAACTCTCTCTGGTCTGGAGTGGGAAAACACATATTGATAGGCTGAAAGATTCAAGGACTGCTCTTGGTTGCAGGAATCAGATTTTCAGGTAGAAGTTTTGTTCCTCTTAATAAGACAACACCATGAAGGTATGGTGCACGACCTTGACTATATCTCTACAACTAAGTCAGTTGTCTGGCACCTTTGTGTGACTCTCAGGCCCAACGTTGATGTGTAGCATCTGTATCCATACTGTTGTAAGGTCTTATTCTCCAAAAGAAGATGCTTGCCTTTGGACTGCCTGTTGAGATGGTTCTTGACTGTGCTGATTCCTAAAGGGTCTCTGGAAATTCTGTGGGAGTATGCTGGGCTGAGACCCAAGCACAAAGTAGAATGAGGTGATCAAATTCAAATGCCTGGGAACATTCCCTGGTGCTGCTGAGTTCACTAATATAGCCTCTGTATCTCTAGATTTGGTTTCCGTGTTGTCAAACCACCTTATTATTGTTGTATGTCCTCAGACTAAGTTATTCCCTAGAAGACCATTTCAGCAGAGATCAGGATTGTGACTCTAGCATGCAGTTCTTAGAGGACACTTCATTGGATGGTCATTCCCATAAGCAGACATGGTTGCAGTGTGTCCCAAAAGGAGCTTTTTAGACTGACCTATGCCCTGATAATCCTCATCTGATACACACATTTAAATACATGCTTGTGATTAGAAGATCTGCTGCAGCTTGCTTTCTCCGATCATCTGGGTCAAGTGAGATGCAGCAGTTTGAAGTCCGCACCTGCTGTTAGCCATCATTACTCAAGTGATAATGTTTTCTTTTTTTAATGAGGTGCTGGTTTTAGGACAAGCATTGCTACCATAACTTTCCAATGACAGCCTTCATCCTCCCTGACACACCTTTCCCCAGTCACCTGGAGGGGAATGTGTGAGGACTTCAGAGGATCCAGGGTTGCTCTGTAATCTGACATTTACTGTGGTTCCTCCAGTTATACCGTCCAGTCAGATTAGTGTCCTGTTTTCTGGAAACCATCATCCTACTCTTGTGATGGACACCCTTTATTTATTAGTTTGCCTGGTTCTTTTTGCCTTTGGCTATGACTAGTAAAAAGGCATTTATCAGTTAGGCAATGCTTGTGACTTGCTGAAATGGATTGCATTGTTGTCCCCAAGAGCTGTGTTTAATACATTACCCTAATAAGTAACATTTTGAGAGCATTTTGTTTCTAAAATACAGATAACATAATTCACCCAGTGTAGTTTTTATTTTTAAATTACTACTTCTACGCTAGTCTGCGGAGGCAAATAAGGAAAAGTAGGTAGAGTCTGTATTTTGTGTGCTAAGTTAAGGGGTAAGCCACAGTGATCTGTAGAAATTTAATTCTTTTCATCCACATGTGAACTCATGAAGAAACTGGAGATTTTTCAGGAGAGCCCAACAGGCAAATATTTTCCATTTTAGCACTCAAGTAAGTGGAATTAAAAATAGGTGAGGTTGTCAGTCACAGAACGCTCTTGAAATCCTGTCTTTTGAGACTGTAAAAGAGCAACATGGGCTTTTTTGAAAATCTGACTCCTATGCTGGGTGAGGTAGGTGAACTGAAGCTTTGCTATAATCCAACTATATTTTGGTATGTGTCTAGGTTTCTTCCTAAACAGGGCCCTCTGTAAAGACAGAAATGTGTTTTGACAAGAAGTGTGCAAGATTTCCTGAAATGAAACTTTGCTGGTCAGCCCCTTGCTCATGATTGGTTTTCACTGCTTTTTTAAGGGATGAAGAAGAGAAAAAAAAGTCTCACTCAGATGTTACAGATGAAAAGGATAATGGAAGCCAGATGAAGGCTGTCAGTCGAATTGGCAACTCAAATAACCCGTTTCTGGACATCCCTCATGACCCCAATGCTGCTGTGTATAAAACTGGATTTCTGGCTCGGAAAATCCATGCAGATATGGATGGAAAGAAAAGTGAGTATCTTTCACCCTTAGCATCTCATTTTCTTGTTTCTCTGCACATTTCTACTTACAATGAGCCTATGTGCTTCTCAAGACAAATAGTGCTGCTTCATTAGGGGAAATTGCAGCAATTGGATTATCACACTCTCACTATTAGGCCAGGATTTACAGTATTCAGTCCCGTTTGCAACAGCTCTAATGCACAAGCATAATAAGTAATGTGATACAGTGAAGTAATGTTAATCTTTTGCTAGAAGAAAATTAATCTCATGGTTTACAGAAGAGAAAACTATTTAGAGTGAATTATAGTAGCTGTTCGGTAGTAGTTTGATAATTCTCTTTTTCCTTATGTGACACCAGATTGTTTCAAATCTTCCCTCCCCTCTGGGTCTGTCTTTAAAGGAAGGCTGTTATTTATCTCTTCTTGAAAGATGCTGTAACTGTTCCCTTCCCTACTTTCCCAGCCTTGGGTCACATACCCAGTCAAGTTCAGCAGCTTTTGGTAGCAGCTAGATTTATGCAATGCAGTTCCTCCCTGCACCTTTTTTGTAATAATCCTGCTGTGTCTCCTACTTAAATTACTCTCTTCTTGTCCTACTTGCGTTTGTGGTGCACTAATTTTCAAAGGCCTCTGGCTTGCCTGTGTGTTTTGTTGTTAGAATACCTTCATTTGTTTGTTTACTATTGATCTTGGAAACAGACTACTCAGAGCATCTGTATTTTCCCCAGTTGTTGTGATGATCACCTACTCATGGTTCTCACTGTTTGGCTGAATTCTGAAGGCAAAGTCTGATTTGTGATGGTTTTTGGGTAGCTTCAACTCTGTTAGCTGGGCTAAGCTCTTTGGTGTTTGCATGTTTTGCTAGTATATTTTAGAAGTTACAGTTGGAGGTCAAGGTTTTCAAGCTGGAGGCTGACAGCTGGACAACTAAATTCAAATAGAGATGTTGAAATCAAACTGACCTCATTCTTTGTGATGACTGGATGCTCTGGATAGGTTCCTCTATTTTACTTCCATTTATTTAACCTTAATAAGTAACTGTATCTAGCTTACTTTATTAACTTCTTTAATTATAAGTAATCAGAATTGCTCATTATTCAAAACACTGGATGCTGGCATTTGGGGGATAATCTTTTTTGAGTAATGTTATTTGGGCATGTTTTCAGAAATTTTCTGTACATCTTAAGAGGTTTGTCTCTCACTGTTGTACAGCTCCTGAAAAAGTTACATTTTGACTTCCAGTTGCCTGTAAAATTTTGGGATTGTTTAGTCAGGAGAAGAGGAGGCTGAGAGGAGACCTTATCACCCTCTGTAACTATCTGAAAGGAAGCTTCAGAGAGCTGGGTTTGAGCCTCTTTAACCTAGTAGTAAGTGACAGGACAAGAGGGAATGGCCTCAGGCTGGGCCAAGGAAAGTTTAGACTAGATGTCAGGAAGTATTTCTTTCCAGAACGGGTTGCTAGGCGTTGGAATGGGATGCCCAGGGAGGTGGTGGAGTCTCCATCCCTGGAGGTGTTTAAGAGTCGGGTCTGTTTAAAACTTAAGGATCTGGTATAGTTGGGAACTGTCAGTGCTAGGTGAATGGTTGGACTAGATGATCTTCAAGGTCCTTTCCAACCTAGATGATTCTGTGAAAATGAAACTCATTTTTTTGAAGTTAGTTAGTCCTTTGCGTATTTCATTTCCTAATGAAGTTGTTGCAGGGCAGAGATGAGCTTGTGTCAAATTGATAATGAAGTGATGTGCTAGCATACTGTATGTATTTTCTCAGGAAGGAGTACAGAGAGCTAAAGCACTTAGGCAGTCTAGAGGAGAAGGGTGTAACAGGGACCAATAAGTGGAAGCTGAACTGAACAAATGCTGATGAGAAATAAGGCCCTTCACATGTGTTTAGAATGATTAACCTCTGGAGCAAGGGACTAATAAGCTCTTTACCATCACTTGCTGTCTTCAGATCAGAACGGGGTGCCTTTTATAGCATGATGTTTTAGTTGTGCATGGATTTTTTTATTTAATTATATAGAGGCAAGTGGATGCTGGTCAGTGGAGTGTGCTTGGTGGAGAGTGATCTTAGATGCAGGCTTCTAGTCTCTGGCACTGGGACTGTACAGCCTATGCCTTCTGTTCCTCTATTGCAGCTGAATTTCAAACTGAACCTTCATGGTGAATCGCCTTTTTTTTTTTTTTTTCCCCCAGTGCTTGTTTCTAGGAATTTGTGGGCTGGATACGTTGTGTCTGTTGCATTCTTCAATTTCTACCTTACTTTAGGTTTCTCAAGGTGTGTGTTGGTTTTGTTTTTTTAAATTTTCCTTAGGATTTTGTTTGGTTCTCCTTTCTCTTCTTTGGCTTCCCCTGTGGTTGCAGGAAGAGGGGAAGGGACTAAGAAGCCATCTGACCACTCAGTGTCAACTAAAGTGTGCAGCAGTGGCAAGGGTGAAGGATGTTTTTTGGGCAGCGTCCCATTGGTCTTAAGCAGTGCCTGCCAGACTGCTGCGGCATGGAGAAAGGGTGTTTTCTTCTGAAAACTGCCATGGTGCAGAGCTCAGACCTAACTGTGTAGGGCAGTGTGTGCCTGACTGCAAGAGCACAAAGACTGGATCTCTCTGGCCTGCTTTCTGCACTGCTGCTAGTCCCTTCTGATCCAGTCCAGGGCAGGGTTGTTTTATTATGCTCTCACACAGTAGGTATGCGCAGGCACTGTGCTGAGTTGCATTGTCCTTTGAAAAGGAGAGTACAAAGGAGGTTTAACATGGGACTAATGTAGCTCTCCTGTTGCCTAGACAAAGTGTAAAAATGGACCCAATTTAAATGGGGTTTCGTTTGCTTTCTTTGCAGCTCCCCGGGGAAAGAGAGGCTGGAAAACCTTTTATGCTGTGCTGAAGGGAACAGTCCTGTACTTGCAGAAGGTAGGGGAAATCAGTGTCTCTTTGAAACTAAACAGAGATAGTGCTGCAGGCATCTTCTCTGCTCTCACAGCCCACCTCTGGCTCTTTTCCCTCCGACACACAGTTGTAGCTGCTCTCTCTGCCCCCCACCCTGTTTACATACACATTCAGGCATGAATCCTTTCATTGACATCCTCCCCCTTTTCACACTTTCAAGACCACTTCCACTGTCCGCATCCACACGTGCACATTATCAGTTCCAGTTCATACCATTGCTGTCACTCATGGCTGAAAAAATAGCCAGTTTCACCGTCAAAGACATCACTCCTTCTTGCACACATTCCTCTAGGCTGCTTTTTAACATTTCATTTCATACATATGACTTTTCCTTCTGTAACACTGTCCTCCTTTTCCATCTTTTCATAGTATAATTTTATGCAATGCCTGCAAGACCATCTGCAAAACAATTGAATGGCAGCTTGGCCTTGGTAGTGATCTGCAGCTTCTGCTCCACAGCAAAATTGAAGGATAAAAGGATACTTACCCCTGCCCCCTGCCCCAGGCAAGATGAGACACTGGTTTCTGACAAACTTTGCTCCCTGACAGCAAGAAGTCTAGAAAAATATGTCATATGAAACCATTCAGGTCTTTTTGGTGCAAACTTAAATATATTATAGTACTGTTTAACCATCTCCTTGGAACATGAAATACAACATATGAGTGAAAACTGTCAAAATCAAGTAATGGTAGCAGCTAAGTAGATTGTAAAGGTTTTTTGCCCCTCCAGTGTAGGTGGAGTATTCATGAAGTAAGTAGGTAGTGTTTGTCCAGGCTGTCCTGTATTGTACAATTCTGCTTTGAGAGCCTTTTAACATTTTGACTGTGTTTTGCAAATAATCAAGAGGGCAAGTTTGAGTGCGTACTGCCATTTCCTCCTCCCCTGCTGTGGCTTTCTGAAGTTGTTAGTTTTATTGGATCCAGCCTGGATAGTCTCTGAGAAGAGAGACAAGGTGGATGCTCTGGGTGCAGTACCTTTATGAGGGGGCTGAAATCCTGAAACAAACAAAACAGTCAGCAGTTAGGATGGAAGATTTGGGCTGAAAGTTGGATGTGACATGCTCAAAGCCAGTGCAAGAGGCTAGAACCAAGTCTGCTGAACTGCAGCTGAGCCTTCCCTCTGGTTCTTTTGCTGGCAGCAGGTTCAGATTTCACTAAAGTGGCATTCGTGACAGGTTTGTTCTTGCCCTTTCCTGGGTGAAATGGGGTCACCTGCTTTGATTTCCGAAGTAGATCATCTTTAGTGTTCTCCTGAAAAGACAAACCCCCTACGAAGTAAGAAGCTAATAACACATACATTTCTTATTTGATCTTTGATGGAGGATTAATGAGCTTTCAAGGGGAAGAAAGGGAGATACGATCTATCTTAGAGTCTTAATTAAATGCTTTTAAGCATATTGGTTTAAAAACTTTCTGTTGCCAAAATGTAGAGATGCTGATATAGGATGCGAATTTTCTACAGAATGGTGCTTCCCCCGCTCTCATCCTCCGTCCTTTGGAGAGCAACAAAGTAATTTCACATCAAACTGAACCTTTGCAAAATGAAATACATTGCTGTTTTTGTTTGTTATTTGCACACCTTACTCTTGTCACAGCAGTTGAGTGATTACAGGGTGTTTACTCTGCAAAGCTGCCCTCTCCCACTTGGTACTGAAGCCATCTTACTGTAGCAGAGCGACAAGCCAGACTTTTACTTTAGTACTGTAAAAGGTTGACAGAGGACTCTGACGGGAAGTGACTCATTTCCAGAGTGATGTGGCTGTGAACTTCCCAAAGGTGCCTCCAGACCCTGCTCAGCCACAATGCCTCATGCTGCAGCTGTGAAACATCCTCTGATTTCTCTTCAGAAGGTCCATTAGGGCTTTGCCTCAGCCCTGAAATAACCTTTGCTCTTAGGGATGTGGTAGTGCAGAAACTGAGGGTGCCAAGCTTTTAAAATACACAGCTAGACCAAGCAGTTGTAGTAAAAGTCGCTGAGCTGTTGTTTCCTTTTGCAATATGCCAGGAAACTGTAATTATCCTCGCTTCAGAAAATTCAGGAGCATTTTTGAACAGTTTGATTGCTTTGCAGAGATGCATAGGTCTGACAGTAGTCATGGGCAAAGGATTTCCTTGCTTCTGTTTGCCTTATCTCTTGGTTATGGAGTGCTGTAGAGCCAGGTACATTCATAAACGCACACATACATTTTACCTCTTTCTCTGATTATCTGTATATTATCTATGTATCCGTGGAGGTAACAACTGTAATGATGGGTTTCATTGCACTGAGTGCTATTCAGGCAGGGGAGAGAGAAATCTCGCTGTTCTAGGTACTGTGTACACACAAACACATGTACAAACTGCTGCACTATTGCTTTCTGTATTTATCTGTAACTCAACTGTTCCCTTAAGACACTATTGTAATACGTATTTGTAGCAGCTGTGATTCCCATAGTGGGCAGTGTGATTCTAATTCTTCTGTCATTCTGTTTGCATACCAGTTCAGCTGTACTTGTTTTGCTGTCAAAGTCCATGTATGACAGTGCTGTGTATATAGTGGTCACTTGAGATTTACTGGGGAGTTTATCTGGGCAGTCGTGTCTCTGTGCCTACATTTTACTTTATTTTTTCCATTGGAAGTGTTCCAGTGCTAATTCCTGTGCTGCATACTGTTTTATTTTTAAATGAGTGATTTAAGAGAGATGGTTTCTGAGTGAGCAGAGAGGCCACCAGAGGGGCTCAGTGGGAGCATTCACAATTAGTCAACTAAACAGACCTGCCACAGTATTACATAAATTGAGAGGTTTTACATGTTTGGGATGTTGACCCTGTCTCTGGACATCCTTAGGCCAAGGTTAATTTCCTGCCCTCTGTTCATAGCAAGAGGAAATAGCAAAGTAGCAGCTTGACAGAGTGTCTGTTCGCTAGAATGACACGGGATGTGATTTGCATACAGAAGAGAGGTTTATAAGGAGAGAATGTAAGGCTGAACTTGCTTCCTTGCTAGAAATTGCTTCTGGGCAAGCACTCCAGGATACAGACCTTTGCGTTTTGTTCAGACTCTGTGAGGTTTGCAACATCTTTGCTCTTTGATGTGGCACTTCATATACTTTTGGGTATTTTTGTATAACTCTTAAATGTTCTTCCTCTATTAAAATATTATAAGAAAAGAGAGAAAGAATGATGTAAAGTGTTTGATGATGAGACTTTCTGAAAGAGAATTTTGCAGCCATCACATGCAACTGAGTGGAGATATCCACCCACAGTACATTGACTGATAAAAAGCCAAATGCCATTCTCTAGTCTATCAAAAACAGATTTAGAAACATGCTGGCTCTGGGTCACCATGATGTGGGAAAGTCATTCTCTGGGATTCTGAGAAAGATTAATTCAGCATGTCATTGCATTGTGTGCAACACTCACATCAGCCTTCAGTTGACAGAGAGGTCACAGTTGCTTTCTGACTCTTCATGTATTTCTTGCCACTGTCTTGGTCTAATCTTAGTGAGGTGCCTTTCATTTCAGCTCAACCTCCACGCTGACACCAGCACGGTAGAACATGTGCTGTCCTTGATGGCGTAGGAGGTACAGATGTTCCTGCTCCTCTTGCATTCCCTCCAGTTGAAAAGAGTTGGAGGCATTAGAGGAGGAATTTTGACAGCACATTCATGTCCTTCCAGCCTTCTCTGAGGCTGGCCAACTGTGTGGAGACATTTCCGGTATGCTGATCAGTGCTTTTGAGGAAGCTGTCAGACCCCCAGCTGTCAGGATAGATTGCAGTCATCTGATCCAATGGGATTAGCAAGGAATAACATGAACACTCTCTGTCAGTAAGGAGGGGATCTCAGACAGGACTGCTTCTGGGACTGCCCAAACGTGGAATTATTCTGGAACAGGTTTTGACACCAGCGCAGGTTGTGGACTTTGGATATATCTCCCAGAGGAAGCTGGGAGACAACAGGCAAGGCGATTGCTTACACTGTCTCAAGGCAGTAATTTGAGGGAAGCTACAATGCCATGTTTCTAAGGCCTGTCTAAATTAATTTGCTGGTGCTTAAGTTTTCCCAGTCTCCCTGGAATTGGAGCCAATCATTTCTCCCCAAACTACCACCAAAAAATTAGCTTTTGAGGTCATGAAGGAAGGGGCTTGACTTAAGGGTTTGCTTCCTCCATATTCAAGATGGGGCTGGGCCAGATGTTGGACAGCCTCCTCCAGTTCTTGTCATTTGACTACAGACCTTCACAGATCTTCCTTGAAGGAGGCTTAGAGAGTGACCTAAGTGAGAGTAGGGAAAGTCCATCATGATATGGAGATTGCGTCAAAGCTTGCTGTGACTCAAGGTATGAGAGAGGAGGGACATTTGGCTTCACTCACTACCAGACCTTGTAAACCCCTTATGTCACAGATGTTTAGGTTGAAAGCTACCCTTTGGTCATCTGTGCAGCAGTGTTCAGCATTTCTGCTAGGCCTGCCAGATCTGTGGTGGATTGTGCCCTTGTCTGGCTTCAAGTGGAGGTGGTGATGTGACAGTATTGCTGATTAGCTGCATCTCCTTTGATGAAATGTCTGAGCAGCAGTAAGTTCTGGACTTGCACTAGCTGGACCTCTGTGAGGAAAGATGAGATATGGCAGAGGAGCAGGACACTTCTAGGAAGTGGTCACCACAGCTGGTGAATCTCCATCTGTTGAAACATCCTGGAGAGCCCTGACCAAACCAGCCTGGCTGAGAGCATAGATACTTTCAGCCCCTGCCCCGGCCACCCCCCTACCTTGGTGGGTGTTTCAGATGAGACCAATTTCTGTGATGTACTACGGGTGAGAAATTGAATCAATTGCAGGCTGCTTTGGCCTCTCCTTCAGAAATTTTGTTTATGCAGCATTGCTGGCAAGTGACTTTTCTTGAAAAAGCTCCTGTCTTTCCCAAGCCATTTATAGTCAGATTGGCTTTAAACTGAACTTTTGGCTACACCATGATTATGCCCTCACCCAGTTTCTGTCACTCAGGAGATCAAAGACTGCTCCGAAGCTGACACTTGCAACACAGAGAGTTTGACTCACTGGTTTTGTCAAAAACCTTAAGTGCTGTGCTTGCCATTTGCAGACCCTGAGCAGAGAGATTTAAAGGGGGTTGCTATATTTGTTCTGTGGAGACTGATAAAGAGGCTTCTCTACTATGTGAGGACTTGCCTAGGACAACAAAGGTAGTTGTTTGAGAAAAATAAAAATTGAGCAGTGGAGGATTGAGAACCCAAGCAGGAACCAGCAGCTGAGCAGTGGAGGTGAGAAGCTGGCCATGAAGGATTCCTGAAATGAAGGCAAATAATCCACAGCTGTTATGATGGTCAAATACTCCCTGTTTACTCCTCTTCCTGTCAAGCAGGTAGTGGAACTAGTTCTCTCTCTTACAAAGAGATCAAAAAAGAGAAAGGAAGAGAAAGGAAAAGATGTTAAAGGTAGTGGAACTGCAACTACTCAAGTCAGGTTGCATTCAGTTCATAATACTTGAATACTATTGATGACTATTGAACAAGGGTTTTCCCTAGATTAAAGGAAAAAGGAGTAGCACATGGAGAAATAAGATGCCATTTTCCCCTGTTAACTCCTGCAGGATGAATATAAGCCAGAAAAAGCTTTGTCGGAGGAAGATCTGAAGAACGCAGTTAGTGTGCATCATGCACTAGCATCCAAGGCAACAGACTATGAGAAGAAACCAAATGTCCTGAAGCTTAAAACAGCAGATTGGAGAGTCTTGCTTTTCCAAGCCCAGTAAGTGCTCTCTTCTGATTTATGCCAGTCATTGAGAAAAGAAAACAGTGCTAAAGGAGGAGTAAATTCATGTTTGGACAGGTTAAAGCAGAGGCTTAAGAAGTTCAATCTGTTTATTTGAACAGAAATAAGTGGTGATTTGATTAGAGTGCACAGGTAGTTCATGAGAAAGAAACACCAGGTTTTAAGAGGCTTTTAAATCTAGCTGAGAAAGGCATAACAAGATGCAGCAGCTGGAAGCTGAAGCTCCAGGAAATTCAATTCAGAAACAAGGCACAAACTTTTAACAGTCAGGGTGATTAATCATTGAAACAAATTACAAAAGGCAGTCTTGGATTGTCTGTCTCCTGATGTCATCGGGCCCTACTGGATGTCTTTCTAGAAGATATACTTTGGTCAGAAACAAAGTTACTACTTAATACAAGAATAATTTGATTAAGTTCTTCAGGCTGTGACATCCAGACAGAAAAGATGACCTGCCTTTTGTTTCCGACATAAAAACCTGTGCATCAGTCTTGTGCATGAGCCCTTTTCCACTGAGATTTATGTGAGACCTCCTAGAGATCTGTGATGTCCAGCACCGCTGAGACCTTAGAACATATGTCTGAATCAGGGCATTGGTTGGCTGTGTCACCTGTGTCATTTGGATTGGATTAGGAAAGGTGCATGCTAGGTTGAGTTATGGACCTAATCACAAGCCAGCCTGTGACTGAGATAACCTGACAGTAACTGCTTACAAAGACAGAGGAGAAGACTGAGCAGACTCTAAGACTTATCCAGTTCTTATTATTCTCACTTTTAAAATGCCATTTAAGCGGTGGAAAAGAGGTGGAGAATGTTGAGTCAACAGGTGCTTAATACGTGTTTCTTCCACAGGAGCCAAGAAGAAATGCAGACCTGGATCAACAAGATAAACTGTGTGGCTGCTGTCTTCTCTGCACCTCCATTTCCAGCGGCAATTGGCTCTCAAAAGAAATTCAGTCGCCCGCTCCTGCCAGCCACCACAACGAAGCTATCTCAGGTGAGTTGTTTTTATACAGAGGGTAGATGATAGCGATTTCTGTGGCTGGCTAGAGACTGTACAGTATTCCTTGGCATTGTTTTGTGGCTATCACCACTAGTATTCCTAGGAAAAATAGGCTTGCACAGTGAATCTTTGCTTGTTTCCTGATGCAAGATTTGAAGTGGCAGAAGAGTAGGAGCAGATTTGGAAGTAATTTTTTTATATTTTTGAAGAAAAGAAACAATCACCAGTATTCCTAGTACCAGATACAGAGTTTTCATCCTTCAGTTATGGCTCTGCAGAGGACATTTCAAATATTGTCTGACTGGTGTTTTTTTGAATTTGAGTGTTTGTTGCCACTCATTTCAGAAGAAATGGATATAGTCCTGGACTTCGGCTTATTGGGGTGATAAAAGGGGAAAGCTGATGCATTGGGCAAGCATCAGTATACTTCTCCAGACTTGAACCCTTATCTGCTGAGGGATTTCCTGTGTAATGTATACTTATAAACTTGCTTCTTACCTAAATGTCTTCAGTCTCTACCTTGTGATCACACAACCTTTTAGCTTCCACAACAACCTGAGGTAGGGAGTTTCACAGCTCTACTACTTCTAGCACAAAAAAGCACATACTTCTGCTTGTTTCAGACTGACTGTGTCTGATGCTTGTGCCCATAGATCTGTGTACCTTGGGAGCTGTGATGCATGCCTGCAATTCCTGCTGCACTGGCAGGAATACGGTATTGATTGCACTGATCACGTAGACAAAGTGGCAGAGGTAATAGATCCCAATCCTAGGTATATACTTTACAGGTGAACCTCCTGTAGCTTTTAAAGTCATCTGCCTATGCTGGATTGCTTAATTTTTCACCATCTTCATAGCTTAGCAACACTCCTTAGATACCACTATCTCATAATCTGCATTTCTCTAAGGGGATGGTTTTTTTATGTCGCCCCTGCTTTTTTTATCTCTGTGGCAGTAGCCTTTCTTCTTACAAGTGGCGATTGACTTTCCATCTTCTATTCTAGGTTAAAGTTTAAAACATGTCTCATACAGAATAATACTAACTTTTCATCCTTGTGGTTTTACTTTTCCCTTGTGCGTACCGTTTTTAAAATACTGTATGGAGCTTGAATATCTACCCTCAGTCACCAAACAAAGTTTTTTTACCCATCTTTGTTGTGTGTGATTGTTCCATTTAGCATGTTATTTCCTATTCTCATTGATTCTGTTTAAGGTGGAAAGGAAAAAAGTAGAACACAGCCCTGTGGTTTGTGTCTTAAAAGAAGGGGACACATGAAAAGTGAAATAAAATAAGCTGTTTTAGCTAAGGCAGAAGAATGTTAAGTGTTCAAAGCAGATAAATTCAAAAGCAAGCAGAAACATGTCTGCTTTTATCTGTCGGTATGGAAAAGCTGCCAGCAGGCTGCTTCTCATTTGACAGGCAGAAGAATATGAATTGTCAAATCCCTGTGGTTGCTGTTTAGGATTTTGTGGGCTGATGGACAGTACTTCTTCAAAGAACCTGTTCCTGGTTAGGTAGAAGTCGGGATGCAGTGAGAATGTAACATGTGCAAGGGGGAGAGGTTAGACATGACAGGTTGTGCAAGATCATTGTACCAAGTTTGCTTTCAAAAGCAGATCAAGGTCTGATCTTGGTTAGTCCAACCAAAGAGGGATGTAACAAAGCTATATATATAAAGGAACAACCAGTCTAGAAAAGATCTACTAGGTTGGATTTTTTTTCTCTGAGATTGTTCATGCACACACAAAAGCTCCAAAGGACTGCTGCCCTGGAAATTACAAGTGCCAAATTAATAGCTGCTCAAAGACCTCCTGTCATCAGGCTATAGAATTCACTGCAACAGAATGTCATTGGGACCAAGGATTCAGCACAATGTAAAGAGTGATTGGGCACTCTAATAGAGCAAGCAGATCCAGGGTAGTTACTAACAGCAACAAGAATTTTTGGCAGGTAGTAGTGAGTGGTTTGAGCCCTATCATGTACAGGCAGAGGCAAATTATCCCACATGTTTCTTTCTTCAGTTCACTTGCAAAAGAGTTGAAACACAAGATTAGCTGGGGCTCAACTATAACCCTCTGTAGAAGCTTTCCCTTTTTCTGCTCCTTTCTGCTGTTCCAGATCAGTGAGCTGGAAGGCTCAGCCCTGGTGTGACACAGTGCAGTGCAGGCATGTCCAGGCTAGGCTTGAAGCACCAAGCTGCACAGCCATGCCAGTGGGAGACAACTGGCAGCTGTCCCCTCCTCTAAGGCTAGGTACATATGCAGGAGCTAAGATGGGTACTACCTGCTGTTACAACTCTGGCTAAGTCACTGACATCTGCATGATCTTGTCTATATTTTAGACTTGCCTAATTCAAACATAATTTTAGATCCAAGCCTAGAAATGGCCAGAAGGCCATGCTGCAGGAGCTGGAAAGCTTCTGAGCTGAGGGAAGGTTAGTTGACAGATGGACGGGAGGAAGTGAGTGGGCCTGGGATTATGATAAAGGAAATTGCCTAGAAAGGGAGTGTAACATCTCCTCACTTTGTCCAAATACACAGTGGGATAAAAGCTGGTAACAGCTTAGCAAAATTAAATACCTTTTGGGGACTGGATAGCCCTTCCTCTTCTAGATGTATTATTCTGAACAAATGGAAACCACAGACCAGAGTTTGTTTGGCAGTGCAGAAACAGAAGGAATGGCCCTTACTCCATGCCCTTTCTGTCCTGGAAGGAACTACTTTTACACTGCAAAGAACTGAGGCAAGGTTTCTGCCTGTCTCATTTAGTCCTTGGTCTGACTGCATATGCAGCAGTCTTAATTTGCCAAAAAATATATTAGAGCAGAAGTGTCATGTTGCTAGTAATGCTCTGCAGCAAGCTGCTTCCATTGCTCTCAACAAGGCAAGGGATGACAGGTTTGCTATCCTTCCTGGTGGCATCTGCTTAGCTGCTGAGTTTTTATGCAAACTTGGCCACTTTGCTTGGGTGCCTTCAAGAGAGCTGTTGGGGACAGAGCTCTGGAATAACAGACATAATCTAATTAATTAAAATTAGTTAAAGGAAAGAAGGAGAGAGAGAAAGAAAAAGAAACTACTATTTTACAGGGTTCTCTCTGTTTTCCTTTGCTTACCAAGTATTTTAGATTCTGTCACTTAAGTGCCTAATGTGTTTCTGAAGGATGAACAGCTGAAGTCACATGAAGCTAAATTGAAGCAGATCTCCACTGAGCTCGCCGAACATCGGTCCTATCCTCCTGACAAGAAGCTTAAAGGCAAGGAAGTAGATGATTACAAACTGAAGGACCACTATCTGGAGTTTGAAGTATGTATGGGAAACATTACTTCTAGTTTTTGGGTGTGTATGTGTCAAATGGCCTTATACTTGGGGTACAGTCCTTAAGTTCTGCATTTTTCACCTTACTTCACTAAGGAATATGTTCTTGTTAGATATGTCACAGCAATCCCAGAAGCTGTGATGTGGCTCTTTCTGATAAGGACTTCCTGTGACCTCTGGCTCTTCATCTGTAAAATGGAGGGTAAAAATGTGTCCCTCTGTCCTTGCCTGATGTATCTGTTTGAAGAGATGATAAGGTCTTCAGGCAGGAACTGTCTCATGTTGTGAAGACTATGTGTTGCCTAATGTGTTGACACCTCAATCTTTAAAGAATGACTTCATTCTACAGTAATGCAGATCATGATTATTATCTTCCATTGGTATGTTCTGAAGGAACTGCTTTTCTAAAATTATTGTCATAGACATGCCTCATCAGAGCCATTTGTGTTGTGAACCAGTGAGCTGGACATCAGGACAAGCAGGAAAAGGGCAATCCAGGACATTTCTGGAGTTCACTGACAACTTCCTAACACAGGTGACCAAGTAGCATACAAGTAGAGGCACTTTGCTGTAGCTTTCACTTATAAACTAGGAAGAACTGGTTGGGGATATGAAGGTCAGGGGCAGCCATGGCAGCAGTGACCACAAGATGTTGGACTTCATGATCCTGAAAGGAGGGGTCAGAATAAAAAAATAGGATCACAACCCTGAACTTCAGGAGAGCTGACTTTGGCCTGTTCAGGGAACTGCTTAGAAGAATCCCATTAGATACAAGCTTGGTGGTTAGACAGCTTTGAGAGTGTGGTCACTTTTCAGAGATCACTTCCTTCAAGCTGAGGAATTCACCCTGACAAGCAAGAAACCAAGCAAAGATGGCTGAAGGCCTTCATGGATGAACAAGTTGTTCCTGGCAAAGCTCCACCATAAAAAGGAAGTGTGCAGGAAGTGGAAACAGTGACAGGTGACACAGGAGGAATAGAGATACTGTCCAAGGATGTAGGATCACATTTAGGAAAGCCATCTTTCATTTTGTGGTGGCAGATGTGAAGGGCAAGAAGAAAGGTTTCTACAGGTATGTTAGCAGTGGTACAGCGAGGGAAAATACAGGCCTAGTTGTGGCCCATAATGGGACAGGAGACTCACTAAGAGCTGGGAAAGGCCAGGGTACTCAATGGCTTTTTTTGTCTGGGTCTCTACTAGTAAGACCAGCCTTCAGCAGTCACAAATACATGAGCACAGTGGGAAAATCTGGTGCAAGGAAGACTTACCCTTTGGTGAAGGATGATAATGTAAGGGAATATTTACACTAGACATACACAAGTCCATGAGATCTGATAGGATGCACTCATGAGTGCTGAGGGAACTGGATGATCATTGTGAGACCTTCACAGTTGGCACAGATTTTGCAGGCCATGTTGAACTATCAATAGCTAGTTAAAAAAAAAAAATAATAAAGTGAGCTATGTGAAAATCCTTAGTGGAAACCTTCCCCTGGTTTTGAGGTTTCCTCACCTTCCCGTCAGAACAATATACCGTCAGGGTCAGGCAGGAGCTGGTGATAGACCTTGCTGCATGGGGTCAAAGGAAAAGGGCAAGAGGCAGGTGAGGCAGTATTTTGTATTTGGCTCTTTCAGGCTGAGACTGCAGACCAGATCTTGCATCTGTGTACATGCTGATACATCTCCAGAAGCACACTAAAAGGACCTGCAAGTCCCAAAGGAAGCAGCATAGTCCCATTAGGAAGGAAGCCAGATTTCTGTAGGCCCTTGTAGTTCCTTTTTGTTCACCCACTGACATTCCCTTCATTTTTCTTCCTGATGAAAGACAAATGAGGTGTTTCCTTCTCAGGGGAGGTAAACCAGGAGTGCCTAGTCTTTGTTCAGGGATGCATCCAGGAACTACTCGTGTCTTTGCTTGTAGACAAAAAGGAAGGAGCATTTATCCTTCTTGCTGTCTGAGGTAGTACTGCTCCAAATGGTTGCTCTTTGCAGTAAATTTGTGGTTTGAGAGAGATCTTTTGAGTGTTGTCAGGTGAGAGGTTTTCGGAGATAATGTTGAGGAAGTTTTTGAATGGTTTTGACTTCTGTGTTGCTACTTTCTTGACAGAATTTTCCAGATTAATTCCTTTTAAGGAAAAATTTCCACCAGCTTCAATACCTAGTTAGATCACTGAAAGCAAGTTTGTTGCAATTGAAATCAAAATAGAAACTTACAAATGCATTGCTTGATTGTGATAGAAATCATGGGCCCACAAAGTCCAGGGCAAATGACCATTGGCAGACATGCAAGGTAGAAACTGGTCCTGGATTGCCATTCTGATTGCTTGTTTTGTGACCCTGATGGTGTTTACTGGACCAACAGAAAGCAGAAGTCCGTATGGCAGCGAAGTCTCTCTCTCCCTTGATGATCCCAGGCTTAGAGCACTGATTTGCCTTCTCTTTTACAGAGTTGTCCTGTTTGCTGTATGATGAATCATTCATCAGCCCAGTGCATCATCATCATGGTTGTGCTTGCTAGTTCTTAATTTCCTTTTTTTACTGAATGACATATCATACCTGCTTCATGTGTTTCTCTCTCACATTGTGGAGCTGAAGCTCCAGATATGGAATTGATAATAATACTTTTAAATTTATTTTTTTAGGTGGATTCTTTTATGGTCCTCTATGAAGTTTTGTTTATTCAAAGGACCTTTCAGAAACCCAGTCACATTCTCTCTTTTTTTTTATATTCCAACTTCAAAGCAGTTACCAAGCTTTTTCACTTCCTGCCCTCAAATAAGTGGTATTACCAGAACTTTATTATTTTGTTATAAACTGGTAGAATTTTACTTAAGCACTTCTTCCTCTGTCAGGAACATAATAGTTTGGCAGCTACTTTGCCACTTTGAAATATAAATTAACAGTCAGTACGGATGTTTATGTCATCCTTCCCTGGCCCCCAGCTGACTGAGGTCACCTTAATTACAATGCCTGCACCACATTTTCAGTGAATATGTCAGGGACAGGTTATTAAACAAATCCTGGGAGGTGGGTTGCTCAGTTCTCAGGTCCTCTTGCCCTGGCTTCTGGTTTTGAGTCCCTGCAGGGATCTTTTGTTAATGTACCTTTATTTTGTTGATTACCAAGATGTTCTGTGCGGAAAGATGTTATTGTGGCACACAGAGTGAAATATTCCTGTTGAAGAGGGAAAGCTCTGCTCCAGACAAGGAACAGGGCAAGCTGGCATGGGGCACAGTGAAGTGAACTTTTTCCACTTGAAAAATAGAAGGTTCTGGACGTGGTTCACCATGAGTGGCCCTGTCAGGGGAACATGCCATGCTGCTGTCATAGCCCTCTCATCTGCTCCTTTTTGTTAAGGTCTGATCTTGCAGACCATTCTCTTATGGGCTTAGTGGTGGCCAAGCTGGTAGTCTTAGCTTAGCAGGACCCTGCTTTGGTTTCTTCCTGGTCAGCTTGAAGCAAAGCAAGCAGGACCTGCTGGTGGGAGTGGAAGGTTGCCAACCAGAGCAGGATTTTCGTTGTTCCTTAGTTTACTGCACTTTGACCTCCATCTCAATGTGTGAGCACAGAATATGACTCAGCATCACTCAGGTCAGCAAGCTCTCACTTGGTGGTGTTATTTGGAAATCACCATGCACTCCCAACTAGCTGGGAGCCACTGTTCAGCAGCGTGCTGGGGATTGTGTGCTGCAGAACTGAGTACGTCTAATTGCACAGCACCCCTGAGCTCAGCCAGCCTGAAATCCTTTTTGCACAGTGTAATTTACATTAGCCACCATTGTTCACGTCCACATCAGGCACCATTGTTCACATCCATATTAGGTTCCTGGCTTTCAAGGCCAGCAGAAACCATTCAGTTACCCAGATGGTCTCTCAAGTGCTTCTGCAGAATCTCTTCCAGACTGATTCAGGCCTTTCTTTTCATTTCCCAGAAAAGTCGCTATGAGATTTATGTTGGCCTCCTGAAAGAAGGGGTGAAGGAGCTGCTGAACGGAGGAGAGAACGATGTGCCAGGACTGAAGAAATCCCACTCGAGTCCCTCATTGAATCAGGAGTCTCCAGTTAGTGCCAAGGTGAAGCGCAATGTCTCGGAGAGGAAGGACTACAGGCCAGAAACACCCAGCATTAAACAAAAGGTCACTTAAGACGGAAATGACAACTAGGGGAACAGCCATGCAGGAAAGTACTGGTGGTCAAAGTTTTTCCATTTAGTTACCTGTCATTCATGAAAAATAAGTACATCTGCCTGAATGGGGTGTTAGTGACATTTTCTATTGTATATTTTGCTGTTTCTGTGCAGATTGTGGGAGATGTCTTTGCTCCTGCTTTGCTTTGCTTTGTTAATTTATCATTTAGCAATTGAAGCATTGGGAATTATTTGTGTTGTTCTGTTTCTAAAGGAGCTGGGGAAGGGGTAGAGTGCTGTGATGTATATTCTATCTCTTCCCCGTTTATCTCCTCCCATCGGCACGTGGCTTTCATCACTCAAGTCACTTGTCACTTTATTTACGTGGTAGGTGGGAAAAGTAACTGGACAAATGCTGCAGTGCTGTGAATGCAAGCTGTAGCTGTGTGAAAAGCTGTGCAAAAGGGCAAGTACAGAAGGCTGGCTAGAGCCTAGGGTGCTGGGAATACTGGTTTCCTGACAGTGGTACTTAGCAGTGGGTGCTACAGTTAATAGCCACTGTTGCTTGTCGTTAATGCATTGACCCTGAATTTATGAGCATGAAGGAGACCTGTGGCAGTGCTGGGCTGACAGCATTGGAATAATTTGTCTGCTTCTTTCCAAGCAAAGTCTTATTCCTGAGTTAGCAGGCTGCGGGGTATCCAAACCTGTGCTGTTTCTGCAGTAAAGAGATTAGGGGATTACCCAGTCAGAATGACTACCTGATCTTTAAATGTATTGGTAGAGGATGCTTCTGAAGATGCCAGCCATTAGCACTGTATTTTAAAGACAAAGGGCCTCTGTGTAATTTTTAACCATATGCTCTCACTTCGCTGCTATATAGAGCCTTATGATATATTGTGCCCTGATGCTCCCCCTTCCCGGAGTTTCCTTGTTGGTGTGCACAGATGGTTGTTCGAAGTTTTTCTGCTAGTGACAAAAAGCACTTTGCCTTTTCTCTTAAGGAAGAGATTGTCCTTAGCTCTCCATTTTCCTGCTTTAGCTCACATATAGGTGGAACAGGCTGGTGCAGACAGGTGAAGGGACATATGTGTCCTTGCTGCAGGCCAGTCTGATGATGTCCTGGCTACTCCATGCCTGGAGGCCAGCACAAGGCAGCCTCAGCTTTGACAGATCCTACCTTCCACCCACAGGGAACCAATCCACCTTACAGCTCATGCATACCCTGCACCAGGCTTTCAGAGGGGAGCTCAGGACAGGGAGAGACCACCATGAGTAGAGCTTTCCATACCTGAAAGCCCCCTGTTTGTGCCACAGACCCTCAGGGTGGCCAGAAGTCTCCAGGCACATGGAGTAGAAAGAATGATGTAGAAATCATTTTCCTGCTTCCTAGCCTCCCTTGCCTGGGCGGCACTGTGGCTCTGCAGAGTGTGCTGGCTCATCTCAGATTTGATACTGGCCCTCTGGGTGAGCTTGGATATGTCTCTCCAGTTTTGCCTTGCCTTTTCCCTAAGTGGAGTAGTATAGCCAAACTGGCCTTCCCTGCAGAGTACCTTGGGAGGTAATGTTGAGGGCCAGTTGAAAACTGTTGCCATTATCTTTGTGGCTGGCACAGGGCAGCCTTCCTGATGCATGTAATTCTTAATGCATGAAGAAATGTCAAGATCAGTGCAAGGACTGTTTAGAAATGTGCTGGTGTTTCCAGTTCAAATAGTCAAAGGGCCACACATCCAAAAAAATACCACCTGACTAGATTTGTGCTCTGCCAGACTTCCTGAAGGGTCCAAGTCAATTAATCTAGATTACTGAACTTCCAGTTCAGTGGGCAGGACAGGGAGCAGTCAAAGAGAGAAGGACCTTAACAAGCACCATATGACTTGCCCTCCCCACCGAGAACCACTGTGCAACAGCTTTCCCGGTGTTGTGCTCACTGTTGGCTGTAACAAAGATGTTGTGCTCTTAGGTGCTGGGAGGTGTTGGACCACATCAATCCTTATAGTTGCAGCTCAGGAGCAAAACTAGGTAGAACTCTTCCCATGTGCGATGTTGGGATACCCACACATCTGGCATCTGCCACTGAGAGTGTCCACTCCATGCTAGAAGTGAAGAGGTTGACCCTTAACCCTGGCAATGTTGCTAAAAGCTGCAGGGTCCTGAACAGAAACTGTCAGTGCTTCCTAAGCACTGGGGCTTCAGAAGTTGTACATGGTTATTTACAGTGGAGCAAATGTTCAGTCTTCTTCCTAAGGAAGAGAGATGCCTTCTGCTGCTGGAGCCAAGTGATGTGCAGCATGCTGTGTTAGGAGACTCAGTGTAGACAGGTACATGATAGTGTTCATTGAGAGGGATTGTTTGAATTAATCTAAGTTCAGTAGACCAACAGTTCGTGGTGGGGGAAAAGGCGAGCAGATCCCTGTAGCTGTTCATCATGCTCTTGTGGTTTAAAACAAACAAGCTGAAGCGACAGAAGAAGAAATACATTTGGGGAATGCCAGATGCACATTTGACAAAGAAAACTTGTCCTGTTTTAGATAACGGTGTTAGGAAGCAGCAACAGGAAAAAAACAAAAACCAAACAAACCAAAAAACCCAACAAATTCAGATTTGTAAATAAGCCCTGCTTGGCTGTCAGGGCAGGGTTGTCTAGGTGAGCTTTTTGAAGTCAGGCTGGAACATGCCCAGCAAACCTCTTGTGATTATGGAGCGCAGTGCTTTAAAAGGCAAATAGGTGACATTTAACTTTTTCCCCCCAGCTTTTAAAATATTCTAGTTGCTGTAGACTGCAGTTAAATTGCTGAGCTCAAAAAGAAATTATTCCTGTAAAATGCATTTCCCATCTTTGACACAGAAACTGGATAATTCCTCCTCAAAGTCATTGCAGAGGAGATGATTGTAAGCAGTAGGAAAAGTTAAAAAGTGAACTGTAAAAATGATAGTGTTTTTTTCATTTTTCATTATTTATTGTCCATTTCCATGTATACTTGTAAATGGATTTTTCTTTAAGTCTCATCTGCGGTTAGCAAATACAGTTTTTCACTGTGGTTTTAGTCATTAAACATTTGTTGAGCTTGGTGTACTCTTGGTGAGACTGCTGAGGCATGCAGATTAGTTTACTGAGAATTTGTCAGATGCTTAAGTTTTAATTAATGCCATTTTATTCCATTGCTTTACAAATTCCAGGCATCTCAGGCACCCATGTGAAAACACCTATTTTGGAGGCTGAGAGAAAAATGTGATCCTGTTGTGAATGCCTAAGGCTCCTGGACACCCTTGGGATAGGATCATCTACTAAGCAGTACTGTAATTTGCTTTTTTTTCCTCTCGATGCTCTTGTAAAGGGTGAGGGCAGGTTCCCAGGAGGTCTCAGCAATGCATCTTCCTGGGTGGCACCACAGAGAGTCTGGCCAGATAGCTTGGTACCTGGTACCATGCCTTTCTTTGCTGAAATGTTTGTCTTTATCAGAGATCAGTGCTTAACCTCAGTGACTCAGGAGCTCCTGTTGCAGTGTGTAAGTATACTCTGCTGGTTTTCAGCCCTCCTCTGGGACCCACCATGCACCTGAGGCAGCCTGCAGCTTTCTGGAGTTTACTATCAGGCTACTGTGAGCATATGTGTGTGCAAGCCAGCTTTTGCCTTGGTGATGCAGGGAGGTGTTGTCGTTCCTTGTCATCCTCCCTGCTGCAGCATGCAACTGTCACTCACACAAAACCTCTGCCTGTGTGTTGAGAGGGGGGATGTAAGCAGGGGATCAGGATGGGGCCAATGGCTCCTTGCATCCCCCCTCTCAAGACGCAGACAGAGGTCCCAGAGGATCCCATCCTGCTCTGAAGCTTTGCTGGTTGCTCACCCTCCAGGGGTTGGACCATGTCCTCTCCCTGGCTGAGGGAGGAGAGGCAGGAGAGGACCTCACTGGGTGGGTCTGCATCTGACAGCAGAGAGATGAGGGAGAAGGACAAAATTGCCTTCCCCTCTCCCCACTCAGCAGCTAAAGCAGGTGAGAAACTCTCCTGAAGTCAAAACCACACTCTGTGAGTCAGCAGGATGCAGGGGTCTGGTTGAGATGTTTTTTGTTTGGCAACAGCTGCAAAAGAGGCTCTCTGAGCTGGCTGTGTGTTTGTGTGCATCTTGCAGATAAATCACGCACAGACCAGTGAACATGAGTACAGCTTTTAAATCCAGTATTTATGTTGTGTCTTTAATTGATGTAGAGAGATAAGTCAGCCAGCAGAGTGATTAATGTAGCGGAGCTGTGGGGAAACGCTGTTCAGCTGCAACGCCGACTCAGACAGTTTTTCATCTGTAGCCAGCCACTTGTAAATGGTTACCAGAAGCTTTCTAAGGGCTTTCTAAGTTCATCCCTTAAGTGCTTCCCCTCTCATCCTGCCTGCTTCCAGGGTGTGGTCTGTCCACATCTGGGGACTCTCCTGGAGAACAGTGCTCAGCGCAGCCCTGGTTTGAGCAGGAATTTGGACCAGCAGACCCCAAGAGACCAGAATTGTTCAGTGATTTTTCACAGCTCCAGTGCCTTCTGGTAACAAGGCTGATTGTTCTTCTGGCATGAAACAGCCAATGTTTTTGCCTTTCTCCAGTGGGGGAGTGAGGCCCTTGCTTGACTAGAGCAGCCCCTTCAGTGAGGTGGTTGTGGCAGTGGAGAAAGTCAAAGGTGGCAGGGTTATCACTGAGCTTCTGGAAGCATTGCATGGCAATGTTCTTTTGAAAGTGAGGAAGGCTTTTCTCTGCAAACGGTATACTGCTTACCATGTCTGCATTCTCAATCCCTAAATCAATTTTGGCCTTATGACATTTAGTCTGACAGTTCCTCCTCCTTTTCTGTCAAGCTGCTCCTGTCTGTCATCTTAGCACCTCAGCTGCTTCTGTATAACAGGTCTCTTTCCTTCCATGCTTGCAGAAATCCAGAAAATTTGACTGTCCCATCTTGCCATGAGAAAACCTGCTCTGAAGCGGCACTGCATTGAATGGATAACCCTGTGAACAGCTTTTTCATTCTGCTTTTTGGTATCCTGTGTTTCCAGCTACAGTTATAGCTGGGAGGTGCGAGACAGAGTTTGACTGCCATGATCCTTTAGTGTTATGCTGCAGGGACGCAAGGTTCCCCGTCCCACCCTCAGACCAGACACCTGTGACGTTCCTAGTCTCCTTTTCAAAAGTCTTTGAGGCAGAAGCAACCCATGCTGTGACAAAACTATGAAATGCTGTTTTGCAGAGTTGGGTACTTTCCAAATCAGGCCACACATTTTGCAGCCTTTTGGGGAGCTGTGTTAAAAAATAAACAAAAACAAAAACAAAAAAACACCCCAACAAACCCCAAAAAACCAAAACCCAACCAAAAGCATTTTCAACCAGTGTCTCCCAATCACAGAGAGATGGTATCCAGCTTGTCAGAAACACTGGTTACTTTTGCAGGGCAAAGGCAGTATATACACCTAATCTCAAGCAATCTTCCATCTTGATGCTTGTTTAAACTTCCCCAGTATTGCTTTACTCGGGCTCTGGGACATCACATCTGCTCTGAGAGTGCAGTTATGAAGTCCACATTTCTCCCCAGAGAATGACCAGAAATCCCCATCATGTGTTCCCAGCATCCAATATCTAGGCTGCCTAGAGGGGTCAACCAAAGAAGTGGTCTCAGAAATTTCTCTGAAAGAGCTGGTCTCCAGCTTATGCTTTTTAGAGGATATTTTTAGTGCATATAGAAGCAGTATGCCTGGCCTCTCCTCTCTCCAAGTGCTCTCCCAGCAGCATAGGTACAATACAGTGAATTGCTTCACCTGGAGCATCACTGTGTGGGACCTGAACATCTGCTTCAGAAAGAACAGGCTTTGTCAGCCTCCAGAGAAATGATATCACCTAAGTAGAGCACCAGTGCACAGGGCATGATACTGTAGGAAGGTAGGTCAGAAAGCCAGTGCCACACACAATGGTCACCTGTTGGCGACTGTGTCAAGCATTGCCTCAGTGCTGGGAGTAATTAGAAATGCTGGTTTCCTTTTCCACCTACATTTTGCTGTTTGAGGAACTGTCCATCCCATTGTTTTAAGGGCAAGGGCAGGTTCAAGGGAAGTGTGTCCAGGTGCCATGTGGGAGTATCCACCCTCCTGTTGGCAACATCCAGTTGAACAGTGAAAGGAGGTAGGCTCAGCCCTGCCTGAGAGAAGGTACCTTGCTCATCTGTTTTGTTAGCTGCATTGAGGCTGTATTTTAATTATTAGAGCACTTCCCTTAGCAAATGCAAGCCACACTTTCCTAAATGCCACACCATTGACCTGACTTTGATCCCATGGCCAGGGGAGCAAATTTAGGTCATCCCAAAGCATTCTCTGTCCTCCCCTTTGAACAACAAACTACTCAGTCAAAATTAGAAAAGTATAAACAATGCGGGACTTCCTGTGGTATCTTCTGTTAAATCCATGCTGGGAATCAGCTGAGGTACAGGCCAGAGGTTTATTTGGACCAAGAAAAAGTACGTAACACTTCCAATCTTTGCATAGCTACAAACTATAAGGGCAGGATTTTTCTCTGACATAAATTGCTGCAGTAAGTAGCCACTCTGTAGAAGTGATCCTCTGTGTAACTCACCTAAATGAGACCAGCACAACCAGATGCTTTTTGTCTAAGCAGGTGAGGTTTCAGCTTCATCTTGGGCCAAGTGATTATCCTGGTGTAACCACAGAGCAGCTAGTCATGCTGCCATAGAGACTTGACACAAAATCCTCTGACTCCCCTGAGCCTCTTGCTGAGAGAAGGGAGATTGGTGATATCTAGTCTGTGTCACTGCACAGGGCAAACTCTATCAGTGGTACAAGTCTTAAATCACTTACATGCTTATGAAAGCCTCATGCTCAGTGCTGTCAAATTCTGAAAGACTGTAGGATGAGAACAGGTGTATGCTCTGCGTTTTTGGAAAATTTGTACCAATTTATGACAACTGTGTCCTCTTACTCGAGGCTAGGATTATAACTCGGCTAAAATAACAGAGTTTTTTGGCAGCTGGAAAACTTTAAAATCATTACTCTTTGCATGAGGTACCATTGGATACTTACATTACTTGGTGAACGTGTTTAAGTGATGCCTATAGATGTGTGTATGTATTTCATAGGTATAGTATGGCTTCTGTGGCTCAGCACTCCAAAGCCTGCTGTTCTTTTCTGAGGCTTATTTTGGTCAAAGCACTTCAGCAGCTGCAAACTTTGTTAGGATGCTTGTTGTTCTAGTTGTTCTCAAATTAGGTTAGTCTTCAGAGCTTTCTCAGATTTAGGGTATCCCTTGAACTGCATTGATCTCCATGTGTTGTCCACTACGGGCTGCCTGTTCTGCACATTGAAGGCAAAGGTTATATTTGAGATTCTAAATAAAGATTACTGAGTGGGATTTTCTGCTAGTTTAACACTGGGCTAACTCTCCCTGTTGATGTCAGCCGATGCCTGGACCAGGAGCATCTGTGCTGACTTCTTCTGAAAATCACACTCTGGGGATCTAATACACAGCTTTACTTCTGAAAATGTTGACCTCGCTCTGTTAAAATTCACCAAGGGGACATCATGTCCAAAAGTGTCCAACCAGGACAGGTGCCTGTGATGTCTCCTGCAGATACAGCCGTACAGCAGTAGTGAGGGTTTCTTTCTGCAACTGTACAGATTTCCAGAAGAATGTCTGGCTCATCATCAGGGAAAAGAGCAGCAGGGATGAAATAACTCTTGGGCATCTTGTATACGTCCCAGAGGTTTCCCTTGGGAGGCTTAAAGAATCTTTTAAAAAGTTGCTGATCTGAGTAAAAAGACGTAAGGAAACCTAGTGGGTTTTCCTATTGCACTCTAGTCACTGTAACACTAGCATTATGTACATTATCCCTGGAAGGGGAGAGCAAAGCCTGAGGGTGGGATTTTTAACACAGAGTCAAAAAACTCTTTATCATGCAGTTTTGTTGAAGCATTTGAGCAATCCCAGTGAAGTCATGCCTTTGTACTTCACTGGACCACGGCCAGAGTGATTGTGTCTTGCAGGACTGAGATGTGGGTGGACTGCAGCTTAGGATGAAACAAAGAGGGACATCCCCATCACCTTGCTTTGGGTGAGCTGTAATTCTTTTTCAAGCGCTGAACTTCACCTTTGGGTTACCTGCGTCTAATAGTGATATTTTGTTAAGATGAGGGTAAGCACTGTCTCACTCAGAGTGTCAGTTAGGAAGAGTCATTTGCCCTCCTCTGTGGTTGCAGTGTTATTTTCCCTTAGTCTGAGAAAGGGGACTGAATTTTCAGTTATTGTTGCATGGTATCCATATGGGAACCATAACTCTCAGTAGTGGTAGTGCAGAAAAACATTTTGCACATGTGTGTACTCTGCAGAGCTAACCTTACAGCCCCTGACAGCAATCCTTGTGAGACCTTTCCTTTGGGTGGCCTCCTATCCCTTTTGACAAGTGTAGGAACCTTCTTACCTTCTTTCTGATAACCTTGAACTTGGTTTACTCTCATCACTGAATCACTGGAGTGTTTTTCATGCAACACACTAGAGATGCAGTCCCAATCTCACTGCTTTTTGGTAACTTCTTGGTTTGCTGTGAAATAGCATTGAGGTAATCACTAAATTTTTTTCCAGCAGCAGGAACCTTGCTGCTCTGACTCTTGGAGTGGTCACAGTCAGGTTTGAGGCTATCCTACCACCAGGGCACGCTGTTTTGCCCCGTGGAACATGCATAGCCAGAGAAGCATACTACTCAGTGGTCAAGTGGTCAGAGTCAAGCCCTGGTTCATGGGAGATGTTTCCACATGCTGCCAATGTCCATAAGGACTCAAACATATACTTGCTTACACAGAGATGCTCTCCTGAAGCAGAGTTGTCAATCTTTTCTACAGATACCACAGGATGCCCTCCTTTATTCTGCTTCATGTAACTGGTACTAGAATGATAATTTCCTGATAAATGAAGGCACTTAATCAGTCCTCTTCCCTTGGAAGAAGGACTTTTGGGGATATTGTTATATCATTTAAAATAATATTTTGGAATTTAAGTTTACATTGCTTTATTTTTCACTTGAGGTGACTGTATATAAATATTTTCCTCTATTTTATCATTGCTGATAAAGTAAGCCTACGGTATACAGACAAATAATTTGCCTTTGATGTATTGAAACTGTGAGATATAAAGTAGACTTCTCTCTTGTGTCCATGTTCCTGACTATAACTCTGTTCTTCTGTGTTTTTATAAGTTGGAATAAATGTTGCTTACGGGCAACAAAGAGCCTGCAAGCTTCCCAATAATTTTTATGTAATTGAAATCAAGCAACCCTAGTGAAGGATCTTACATATGTATAATGATATATGTATATGTACAAACTTTAGAAAGAAATAAACCAAACGTATTTCATCTTCTGCAGTTGAATGTTTTTCATTAGAGCCCTTACTGTTGTTTCTTTTGACTAAGAACATGAAGGTAGCTTTACCGGCTCATACAGGAGCCTCTGGCTGTCTTGCTCAGGGAATACACAGACCAATTAGTCAGTGCAGCCCTTTCCCCAGTGCACTCTTCTGACATCTGGCGGTCAGCGGTTTGAAGGTTTCCTGAGCTGGAAGGTGCATACATTCTCTCCATGACAGAAAGAGACTGGACCTGAATACCAGGGCAGAGACCAGTGCAGACCCACAGAAATATATAGTAAATGGTCATTACTGAAGGAAGCACAAGGAGATGTATGGTTGGGGTAATTAATAGAGCCAGTGGTACTGCATGCACAATGTGAGGGCAGCTGGAACCCATGTCTCTTCCTTTTGCACCTCTTCATTACTTCCTCTCTGGGCTATTACAGGGTATGTAGCCTTCAGAGTTACCACTGCTTAGCTGTGAAGAGACATCGAGAAGAGAATGAACTGATTAAAAATGGTTTTATTAGCACAGGGGTTGGAAGAGGGAGGCTGCAGCAAACAGCCTTGAGTTGACCTCAAAATTTTTATGAGGTAGTTTGTTTGAAGGCACTCTGAAGGTTGGGAATTGCTGTTGGCCTAGTGGATGGGGAGCAAAGATCCATGAGAGGCAGAAAAGTCAGACACTAAAGAAAAAGGGGAGTGCTGAAAGACAAGAAGTGGGAATGCGTAAGAAATGGTGGCCATCCAAAGTGAGAGGAAACAGGCTGTACAACAAACAAAGCAAACATCCTTGTGCTTACATTTCTTGGGTTGGATATGGGTCAGTGTGGGAGGAGAGGGTACTGTGTAAATGAGTAACGGCAAATAGACATAGTGTTGGACATGTTCAGCACCAGGTGGGGCTTGGAGAAGCTTTACAACAGGTCTGGGAGCTTGTATTTGGAGACAATAGTAGGGAAGACATGTTTTTTCTTATCAAGATCTCTGTGAATGTTTGACTATCTTGTGATGATTGTTTCTTTGCATTTTTTCCTGGAGACTGAGCATGTTGCCTTTAGATGAATGGCAAGACCTCCAGAATTGAGACAAATATGTACTTTTTTTCACACTATGCCATGGGATGTCAGATTTTTTTGTTGCTGCTCCATCCTGGTTACTTCAAAGCACTCAGGCTTTTTGGTTTCAATGCATGCTCCTGGATTAATACATCTTCTATGGAGAAAGTGGTGGTTAAGGATGGGTGGGAATGTTTTACAAAGATGTATTAAATGCTCCTCTAAACCCAAATTGTGTCTGAATGTTAATGTCAGTGCTGATCACCACATCTTTTCCTATCTTCCTAGCTGACAGAGCCAATGCTGAGAGTTTTCTGGTGGTTTTCTGCCTGGAATCGTTAATCGCGTCACATTGCTCACAATGCATTAAACTATAACAAAATGACAGAACAGGTGCAGAGTGAAAGACAGATGCATTTATATTCTCTTCATTTTCCATTTTCAGTTCAAGTTTCCAAGTACAGAATATAATTATCAAGGGAGTCTGAAAGGGCTAGCTTGTGTATGCAGGTGAAACCTCCACAGTCTACAGAAGCTACAAATCTCTCTGACTATTTATAAATAATGTAGCATGAGAGAGTGACTTGGCTCAAAAGTAAAGCACAACTTGGTCTGAAATTGTTATGGGTATCTTTAGATTAGAAATGGGAAGAAAGTTCTTACCCAGAAGAGCCCTAATGTACTGATGTGGCCTCCTAAATGGCAAGGAAAGGGAAAAAATACCCAGTAGCTTTTAAGGTAGAGCTTGAAGGCGAATGATATGATTATGACCCGGGTTTTCGTCTGTCAGGCCATCATATGTTCCAGCTCTTTCTTCCCATGTTTGTTATAAAATTGATGTTTCTCAAAAGAAATTATGCTAGCCGCTGTACTAGCCATTTCTCCCAGAAAAAGGGCTATCCTAGAAAACATGAACTACTGCACAACAGCTAGCTACCATGCCGGGTTTGCTGTTGCAGTCCTATTCATTTTAGGGCATCTCATCTGGTCCAATTCTATGGCTAGTTTTTGGGTGGATCAGGTACATCTATGTTGTGAGTCTTTGTTTTGCTCTTGACAACAAGGCTCAAAGACGAGCTTAACTGGAATGAGGCACTGGAATCAAGGCTAAGTAGGCTGATTTGCCGTGGAAACTCAGTAAGGTAATGTGTTGCTATTATGAAGTAGGAAGTTATAGGAAGTTTTTGGCTCCCTGTACCCATGCAGGGTGTGTCAGTAATAATGTATAAGGCTGAGATTGCTACAGTAACAACTTTGAAAACACCAGACTTTGGTACAGATGTTGCTGAATTGGGCCAAGAAGGAGAAAGTAGCGAGGGACATGTTGTGTCTTAGGGAGGAGGTTAGACAGAGAAAGGGTGTACAAGGATGGCAAAAAGGTGGTTCCAGAAATAGAAACGATGTTATAGAAAGTAAGGTAAACAATGAGGTAGAAAATAAGATAAAGGACAGGGGAATCTTCTGAAAGGTGAAGTGCAGGTGCCAACAGATGACAGTGATGCTGACATGCACACCTGATCTGGTGGGACTGCCAGTTGGGCTTTTGGTCAGGTCTGTGTCTGAAAAACTCGGGGTGAGAGAGTGGGTTGTGGAGGGAATCATTTCCACCCTGGTGATAGGTCATGTAGGGAGGGAAAGGCGGTGGATCCGTAAGTGAATAATAGATGTATGTGATTCATAAAATTTAAACTTGTTAGATTAACAGCTTTATAATTGTTTATAATAGAGTGAAAAAGAATATAATTTCAGATTATCAGTAGCAGTGTGTTTATTTGATAATCAGTACATTGATTACTTAATAGATTTATCAGTTTCTTAGTAATGTATTGCCTAAATCAATTACATCTTGATCTTGCAACCTAAGTAGAGGTAATTTATTCCTGACATAAGTTACATGGGGAAAAAGGCTCCAAGACAGTTCTTACCTAGTCTTAGCTTGCTTCACCTACAAGTTTAATGACTTAGACAACTGCAAGAATGTTTGTATGAATATTTTAAAATATTTCAGTTATGCAGGAGCTCTGCCAGTGACCACAAGCCAGAAGTTAAAAAGGATGAGTCTTGAGAATGCAAAACTAACAGTCAAAAGGACATACTGGGAAAGCAAGATCTGTGAATTAAAATCTCAGGGACAGACTTTTATAGTGCATAAGAATTATGTTTTTCCTAAAGAACAGACACGACTTGTCTGCACATGTAGAGGAACTGATGGACCTTTATCTGTGCAGTCTTGAAATGTAGGTGAAATGTACTGTACAGATTGCTAGAAAACTACAAAATAAAGCAGCATATAGCACCAGGGACTGAAAACTCTGTGGAAAAAATGGCAAGGAGGGTTTGCCCAAGAGTAGAGCAACCAGGAACTGTTTGAAAACCAGAGGCAAGAAGAAAACTGAACAAGACTGCAAATAAAAAACATGGGAGGCAACTGAACAGTACATAGATTCAGTTATCACTTGGAAAAGACAATCCATTAATAAGAAAGGAGTAGCCACCTGTGAAGGTTGCCTAACACCTCCCTTTGTCCAAGTGCTCTTTCGCTGAAAAGTTCTCACTCCCCTGTTCTTTGCAGACGCACTCTGAACACTGTCAGGGCTGCCATGGGGTCAGGAGAGCATGCTGTGTGCTGGCCTTTGGGGAAAGCTGCTCAGAGTTAGAAAAGATAAAATAGTCCTTCCTGTGCTTTGTAGCTTGGAAGGCAGCATCATCCCTGGGTCTGTGTACTGTCTGCTGGATGGGGAGTAGCCCCCAAAAAAACCCAAACCAAGCTGAAGCCTGTTTTCCCCTTACCACTATAGAGAGATTGTTCAAAATACGTGGGTTTGAGTGGGTGGGTGGTTGTTTTTTTCTTGCCCCCAATAAAATGTCCTTGTTCAGCCAGAATCATCTTTCTGATCTGCTTCACCTTTTGATGCTGAGCTCACAAATGTGCAGTAGAGATGCTTTGTCACCAATTTGGGAAGGTATTTTTAGTCAGCTTGAGCAACCTTCTCCTCTCTGCCCAGGTGTCCAATGTAAAAAAGCACACTTTCTCTTTTCAGGGTAATGCCAGCTAGGACTTGTTAACTGACGCGTGTCTTTGGACACTTGTTGTGGATACAGTCTTCAGCACAGAGACATGCCCTGTCATTTGAGAAGAAGTGGTTTATGATCAAGGTGATGATGGGAATGCTACTTGTGAGGAGGGTGGGTGTAGAGAATGCTCCCATCAAGTCAGAAGTGGATGTGTGATAACCAGCTTCCCATCATCCCATCCCATCCCCTCCTGACCTCAACTGTGCTGGACACCCCTTAAGTACAAGTACTGAGACTGGCATGAATGAAGCCAGGGCCATTACCAGCATAATCATTGGAGTACTAAAGACAGCAATTACTGCACCATTGTCTTCTCCCAAAGAGAAGCTAGTGTGGCAGAAACTTGCAGTAGGCTGTGCCTGGGGCAGGAATACTCTCCATGTTTGGGTTAAAGCATCCTGCTGGGACAGGGGGAGGTCTTGCAGCCAGCCAGTGGTAGCAAGCACAGTGTATGAGTCCCTATTACCACAACCATACCCACGCTGCTGCGTTTCTCAGGCAACTGAGATGTGGGCGGCAGTTAGAAGTTGTAATTGTTTTTGGGGAAAAAAAAGGCCCATATACACCAAAAAAAAAAAAAAAAAGAAAAAAAAAGGACCTGCTTTTTTTCTGTTTAGCTGCAATTTCTGACTGCACTTCAGACAAATTGTCAGAATCCGCATTCATGTTGGCAGGGAGCCAGGCTCCCCAGCACGCTGATTAAGCTGTGTGTGGGCAAAATATAGGCAGATGATGGGGACCTGGTACACTGAAACCTTGAAGAGCTTTGTTTTCCTTTGCTGCTGCTTTCTTTTTCTCTCCAAAATTCTTGCAGGCTAGTTTTCTGACCATTCTTTGTTGGATCTGTTTTGGGGATTTAACTTCCAACTTTGAG